GGTTTTTTCTATGGTAGTTATAAGACCATCCATAAATTTCTTAATTTATACCTGCAACTTTCAAATTATCGCTTAATATGAAGTTTTAAATTTATTACACTTTAAATACATATAAGAAGGGAAGGGAAGGTTAAACATTTTTGGTCTGATCTTTACGATGGCAGCTATATATTCGGCCGAAACTGCCTAATTAACTATTTTCAACTGCCATTTGCAAATTATCGCTTAACATGCAATCCTATGAGTCCCGAATCAACATTGCATACAGAATCCCTTCTATTGCCACTTAAGTGCCTTTGGTGACTCCTAACAGACACCACTTATGTCCTTTCACAGAGGAGTTTCCTTAAATATTTAAAGAGCAATCGACTGGCCTGGGATCTCAATCAGTGCTCGAGAGGCAAAAGAGCGAGAAATTAAACATGCAGCTCGTTCATTTTTGGGTCACTCAATTAAATGAGTGCATCTTGAAGAGCACTCGACGAGGTAAATTCTCCTGCTTCTTCGCCAGCTCCTGCAGGACACGCTTTTCCTCCGGCTTTTCCACCAACTAAATCGATTGCTGTTCAATGCTCGATGCTGAATGCTCCTTCCGAGAGTCGACGTCGATGGGATGTCTTTGTTGTTGGCCCGTTGGCCCGGTCAAGTTGCCGTTTGATTAAAAGGACATTGGGAAATAAAGTAGAGCAAAGTATGTGCTAAGCTTTGTTCAAAAAGGAAAGAGTAAAAAAAGAATTCCCGTGCACTGCGAACGTACTCAGGAGGTATGTAATTGGTAAGTGCTCATTAGAAATGCTCCAGACAGAGACGAGGTGGGTGAATGTGAATGTGACTGGTTGATTTTGTTGGGTGGCTCCAAGCCAAGTGCATTTTCAATTAAGGAGAGCAAAATATTTTGGCTGCACTCTGGGCGAAGGAGCCAATAAACTGTGGAATTTACGGCAGGTCCTAATAGCTTTTCGCACATTTATCCATCCGGTTCTTGGTTTATTTTGAAGCAGCTCAACACTTACCCTGGAAAATCGTATTTGCAATTCAGTGGAAACATTTTTGCAGACTCGATTGCTATTGTATTGCATTGTACCATACAGCTTTTGCTAAAGCATTCATTATCATTGCCAAAAATGATTTCACTTTTACCAAAATGGTATGTAAGTACACAAAACTGGACTAATTGAATTGAAGTTTCAAACTCCATTTGAAGTATGGAGAAACTTTTTAAAAATCTTTGGTCGGACTTCTGTTTCATCTGTTCGAGATAAATTGTTAAAGATTTTGTATAAGAATTGCAGTAAATGATGTACTTTATTTATAAATATTTAAATAAATTTGAATTACATTTTCAATTAATTTTGTAGTGGGCTTTGAGAACTTTTCCCCCAAAACAATTTTCATATTTGGCGTTTGGAAAGTTTCTTCAATTTTGCCTTGCTTTTGTTTTCTATTTACAGCTCTTAGACCATTCAGAGTTCAAGAACTCCGTTCAATCCTTGCAACTTGAAGTCACTTTGAAGCTTACGTTTTGGAACAAATTGATTTACTATTAGGCACTCTGGGCCACAATTTGCAGCTGGAACAACCACTGCAAGCCGACCAGGGAACAACTGATGTGTTGCAACCGCATTAGGGCATCTTCCCTTTAGCAACGTATTTGCCGCCTGATCCTGTGCCCTTTCCAGCTCCTTTTTTTTTCTAACATACTTAAAATATTTAATTTGTTTATTAAATATTTTAAAATCTTAAAAAAAAATCATTTTTTCAATTTTTAATATATGTTTAAATAGTACTCGTAAAATTGTTTAATATGATTTTAATTTTTTTTAATCAAGTAACTTTTAATATTATTTTGGCAAAAATAACATTTGACAGTGGTTAAAAAAAAAAGATTTTTATTTTATAAAACCGGTTTTGAAAATAAGAAAATTCCTATATTTCTTGAGTGCATTTAAATCTGGCCTCGTTGTTCCACAATCTCCCCTATGCAAAGCTTGCCGCAATATTATCCGACTTGAGAAATGCCAGGCGCATATTGACTTTTCTGTTAGCCAGATTGTTTCGGCCCTGTCAGGGCAAGTGCTATCCACCCGAACCGAACTCCTCCTCAAAGCCTTGCTTTGTGTCTGCAATATTTGATTTTTACTATCACTTGGCATTGTTGTGCGAGTTGTGTGGATTGTGGGTTGTGGGGAGAGATTACAACGAGCCATCAGCATAATGTTTGCTCTGCGAAATTGAACTGATTTTTACTAAAATTTTTCTAGTTAGGTGGCACTAAAATTTTCACTTTCCTCAATTTTAGTTGTTAACCCAGTTTATAGTTTATATACACACAAGTTGTCTAGCAAAACTTAACAACAGGAAGCTGCTGATATCAAACTGCCAACAAACAGTTTTGAGTTACAGCGGAAGGTGCAGGTTCAAAGCTCTGAGAGAAAGATTACGCGGGTTGGGAAATGGGGCGGTGAAATGGTAAAGCTATGGTAAAGGTAGAAGGGGTGGTAACTGCTTTGGGTGCTCGGCAAAAACTTTAACTTATGCCTGCACTCTGCAAATTTTCATTATGAACATTATGCATGTGTTTGGTTAAAACCAAAATTACACGAGTAAGACGAGACGTGCCGAAGATAATACGCTTTCTTTGGAAAGACAAGTCTAGCTGGGAATCGAAAATATATTTTTTTTATCTATTAAATTAAATAAAAGTACGGACTTTAATTAAAGATGGGATACTGAACTTTTTATAAATAAAGTTTATATATTTTCAAAGCATAATATATATAATATGCTTTAAACACAAAATAACTTTTTGAAAATAGAAAAACTCAACGTTCGACTAAAAACCAATCTGCTTAAAAGATTTCCGAATTTGTTACGACTTTGTAATCGACAAACGCTACCAGGTACAAGCTTTCAGAAGGAATATTCTCAAGGCTCTGAAAAAATCAAGCGCTCTTCCGTCATTGTAAAATGCGTCTGACGGAAAAGCTTAAAGAATTTACTTTGTGTGTGTCGAACATAAGTTTGGTAAACAAAAAGAACTTTAGGTGGCAAAATCCTCTTCTTGTTGACGTGAAAGTAATTTTCTGCAAATGACAAGTTATGCAAAGTACCATAAGAGTTTGGCTTTGAAACAAGATATGATATTTCGCAAACTCTGATTCGCAAATAAATTTAAAGGTTTCTTTCATCAAATTAATGCAAACTTCAAAAGGAGCATAAATCAGTTAAATTAGCTAAATAATTGGCCTGCAAAAGAGACGGACAGCAGACAGAAGAAACTTTGGCATGTCTAAAGAACGGAAAATGTTCCGGCACACACATACACTCTGACGAAAAAGTAAAGTAAAGAATTTGAAAAGTAGCCGACGTGCAATGTTACATAAATTGAAATAGTTGTGTGCAATGTGGAACTTGCCAGAGTTGACAATTTCTGCCCTCCTTAAAGCTTACTTTTTTTTTTATATTTAATTAAACTAAACTTACATGGGGAAAGTTATTGTGTCATACAGATGTGTGAGTGGTACTATTCCTACTGGGCCGAAGAGTAAGCAAAAGTCATTTAAAACTTTCGTGTGCTTGGTCAGCCATGACTTAGCATGCATATCTCATAGTCAGGACTTGAAACCCTTTTCCTATACAGAAACTTTTTCGATATTTCAAATGCAGCGAGTGCGAGTTGGAAAAGAAGGATAAAGAAAGGGGCGGCGGCCTGTAGACAATAACTTTGCAAAATCCAATTACGAGAGCTGAATGTGTTCGGTGTGTGCCTTTATTTTACTTTTCGGTAGGTTTTTCTGCAGCCTGCATATTAAATTAGCCAGCAAATTGAGTAAGCCCTGCAACATCTGACCTTTTTTCCACCCCCTTAATTCTGAGGTTTGTGCTGCCAATTCGCAATCAAATTTTCTTTATCACCGGTTCGGTTTTTCCGAATCAGGTCGAAAGGATGTCCGACTCACTAATAAACAAGTTAACAATGCAGGAAGGCAGGTTGGTCGTAGCCAGATATTGCGCATACGCAATGTGTTACGTGTGCGTGCTTCGGGGAAAAAGATGTACTTTCTCCTCCGTCCGCCCTGGGTTAATTTCATTTGTCAATATGAAAGCGCAAAAGTGATTTACTTAAGTGTAAACTCATTTTCCACTCAACAACAGAACAATATCAGCAAAGGCAGCACACCATTCATTGCACTTTGTTTGTGTTGTACTGTGTTGCATTGTGCTGTGTTGCAAGTGTCGCAATATTCCTGCCACAGCGACAGCAACAACAGCAACAACAATGTCCCTGCGCTTTTCACCTTAACAACATAATGGCAATCAACTGATGGAAATGACGCAGCCACAGTTTCCAGGAAGGATTCAAGTGGCTGGCGAAGGGAATTGAAATTGGCTGGGTTCGTGGATGGCAGCGGATGGCGAGGAAGCTCGCAGGTGGCATTGCTCTTGCCATTATTCATTTAAACCTGGGGATTGGGGCAGAAAGTGTTGCATTGCCGCACAATCGACAAATAAGCCCTAGGCAATGTGTATTCTTTTTCAACCAAGGAAATGCTCCTTGGATTTCCATCTCGGCTCCTTTTGCAATTGAGAGATATTCAGGCACACCCACATACACAAGTCTGCGGCTTTCGATTTGTTTGCGATTTAGATATACAAACCCTGTGCCAGCCAAAGGTTGCCGTTCTTGCCGCTGGCAAATTTTTAAGTAAAACGGAATTGCTTTCGTTAGACAAACGCGACAGCATGCGTGGGCTTCGATTGTGTCTTTATTTTTTATTAAATTGCTCAGATTTGCGCTGAGATAACAATCACCAGGCCAACGGCAATTGCTCGAGGTATTTATGGGTGCTCAATTTGAATTGCTTGAAAGGAAGCGATTTGGTTGTAACAATGAAAACGGACTACAAGACATTTTCATAAATAAATTAAAAGAGATTGTCTGAATGGAGGATTATTGAACGAGCTTACTTTTTGTCGAGTAATCTATGAGCTTTACTTACCGTTCCGTGGGCTCTTATTCAGCTATCTGAAAATAAAAAGAAAATGTTGCTTAATAAATTTTTATTATGACAATTTAATATGTCAAAGATTTATTTATTTATTTGTTTAAATACATTTTCTGGCTTACTCTAATACATATTATTTAATATGTCAACGATAAAAAACCATTTTGTTATTATTTTTACTAATATTATTTTAGACATCATAAGATAAATATAAAGAAAGTTCACAATCTATCAGTCGTCATTTAAAAAAAAATTATAATTTTGTCTGTAAAGTAAACTTTATTATATTATTTGCATTTAAATTTATTGCTTTCACTTCTTCTTTACTTATAGCTATATTTCTTATGTGTTTCATTTCAAAAGCTTCCTTTTAAAGCCAAGCGTTCATCTAATGAAATTCCGGTCAATGTTTCCTTGAAATCTTAAATTTTAATGTCACAACACAATTTCTCGTTTTTGCTCATATTGCTTCTGTTTTTGTTGTTGTTGCTGGCAGTTACACCATGATTGCCAGGCATTCTTGTTGTTGTTGTTGTTGCCTTACCATTTCAGATTACGGCCAGAGTTTAGTTGGCACACAGGGTTTTTTTCCTCCTAGCTGACACATGCCTACAAGCTTATTTATAATAAAAAATCATACATGAGCGCACAGACAATGAGACAATAGACGAGAATGGTTGGTACAAGCGGATAAGGGGGCGGATGGCAGTGGCTGAGCAGGGGGGGGTAGCCGGAAAAAAAAAACAAACAACAACGAAAACGGCACAAAAAAATTCTGGTTTGGGAAAAAAGTGTAGAAATGAAAGGCGGCTCGGCTCGACTCGACTCTGTCGGGGACTTGGGCTTTTCCTGCCAGGGAATTTCCAGAACCAGAACCGTCATTAACTGTTACGCGTGTGTATGTAGGTCTAGAGTTATATAACACGGCGACTCATACAAACACACCTCATCTAACCATTCATTGACATCATTTGGCATGGTAGATAACATTCAGCCAAGTGCACACGTGCACTGAGAAATTTATTATGGAAAATTTTACTTTACGAAGTTCCAAGCTGCACGCCAGCTATGAATATTACAATTTTTTCGACGGTAATAGTATGCAATATTCAAAATAGTTTAAGTCCGGAAGTCCATGAAAAATTCTGAGCTAAATGAAAGGAATATTAAATTTAAAATTAAAAATATTATCTGTATATATATACTTGTAATAATACTTTTTTAACATTGTTTTTCAATAATACTGATTTTGAAAATTTCGATCTTGCAAATGCCAAGTATCAATCAGTGTCTTTTTATGATTTAAAAGTTAACATAATCACTTGAAAAACAAACCTTAAAGGTTGAATTTTCCGACAATGTACGGGAAATTGCGAGAGGTCCTAGGTGGGTCAATGGGAGGGCTGGGATGGAGGAGATGGCTGGAGACGAAAGCGCTCCTGCCACCTTTAGCAAGTTTCCCAGCACAGCCGAACAATGTAATGAAATTTTCGAAATATCTATGATGATTTGCGGTTGCCATGATTGTCGGCCAGAAGATGCTAGCCTCCCCCAGTTGCACCCCCTTCCTCCCCCTACTGCCGCCTCTCTATTCGAATCCTTGTTTCACACATCCTGCCAGTTGTAGGCCAGGATTCCATCGCATGGCATTGCTGGGCTGACTTGCCCCTTGGTTTCCTGGCTGGCAAAGTCAAGTGACTGAAGTCACACTTTGGGCTGCCTTTTGCCGTCCTCGGGTCCTTTGCGTCCTTTGTGGGGGTGGCAGGGGGCGTGGCATGTGTGTGGGTGTACTACTACATTAAGCTTTGAACATTGATTATGATGATATGGAATTTAAAATCATAAATTGCGACGACTCGTAAATTATATTTTTCAAAGGAAAAAGTTATGGCGAAAATTTTCTCCACAAAGTATGCTATAATAAATTTGATATCGGAAAACGAACTGAGAGTATTCAGGCTCCATTTTAGCTTAAACATTACCGGAGCCATCTTAACCTACTTCATAATCTTTTATTTTAATTCAATTTTAAAGGAAACAAACAATTTCAAAAGATAAAATGGTTTGTGATACCGTATATGCAATAAATCATAACTTTACGTTTTGAAATAATCATTATATTGATTACGTTCAGTAAATAAATAAATGAATGGAAATGTATCAAGTATAATGGTCTCCACAAAATAAACATAAATAACTTGTGTAGTTTCCCAAAACAAAATGGAAAATAATACACAACTAGATTACTAAGTTGCATCCTTCTCGGATTATGGCATTTATAGTTATCCACGTGGGAACTGATGACGCGAACGCTGGGGAAGAAAAGCCTCTAACTTTTGTAATCTGAAACGTGTTTTTAATGGCATTCTCATTTCTTCACGCTCTCGACTTTTTACTCTCGTTGCTGTGCAACATTTACTTCACTAGCCAAGCATCGAAATGGGCGTAAATTCAAACTGGCAGCAGACAATAATTGCATTATTTATGGTGATGACGATGGCGAACAAGTGTGGCAACGAGATTTCACTCACTCCCTACAGTTCTGGGGCTTCCGAAAAAGTTGTGAGGGAATTATTGTGAAATTTGTGGGAAATATAACGAATATGCGCATTCGCAATGTCTGAGAGTTTTGGTCGCATGCAAACATAAATTTTTGTGTGCCATGCAAAATAACGTAATAACATTAAATATGCAAATGCCTTTTGTCAGCCATTGCATTTACACATGACAAACAGAGGATAGGGGCGTGGCGGTGGCAGGGGAGGGCATACACATTTACTTGTATTTGTATTCATTCATGACGATTGCAGAAGGAATGAAATGGCGGAAAAGTTGGAAAGGAGGGGAGGGGAGAGGGGGAGAAAGACTTCATCACACATTTTGCAATTTGCATAAAGTGAAAATGATGCACATTTCTGTTTTCCTACGACAATTTGCCTTTTATTGATTTTCTTTGATTTCCTTCGCTCAGATCGCACAGTCAAGGCCTCCACAATCCCCCCCTTCCCGAATTTTCCCCATTTCCCACGCAATTTCCCTGCCCAAGAAACTCTCTTCAAGGGTCCCCGACGAATCTACATGTGTTTTGAATGACGTTGAGTGCTGCTATGCAAACATTTTCTAACGAACACTTAGTGCAAATAGATTCGAGAACTGCCAGCTCATGTGAAGTTTCCCATTTTCCTTTGGCCACACTCCATACTCTCGAATCTAAGTTCTTCTCGGTTTTCTTAGCCGTTTTTTTATTGCATGCCAATTACTTCTTATTTTATGCTGCAGCTGCATCGCCATGTAGTCTTTCAATTTCATTAAAATTTCCAACAATTACATTTAAGCTGACACTATGCACTGTCTGGGATTTTATTTACATATGAACCGGGTGAGCCAATCAAATTATATGGGTGTTACACAGCGAAAAAACCTTATGGTTAAAATGCCTTTACTTCACGGCTTTCGAAATGTTAAAATCGAAATTTAGCAGTTGTGTCGTCAAAAAGAAAATTTATATTTAATAATTATAACATATTTTTGTTTATATTTGTGTTCATATCAAACTGTGTTTTATTTAATGACTATTTTAATTACCTTGTGATCCCTATACATAAACATAATTTAAATTTACCGAATGGAATTTGGCTTGAACTTTCTTTCTCTGCACAAATTGCGTTTCCCAGAGTACACCATCAGAAAAATATATTCTTTGAACTGTATAAGCGGCTTGTTAATCAGTCAGTTTATCTGGTCACACGACTTAATAAGTTTGCCATCTCTGTAGAGCAATTAAAAAATGCCAATTCAATGCTCTCAAAGCGTTTGAAGTTTGTCAAAAGTCAGTCACTTCCGCTGGATTCCTCCGCTGTGTGCGGAAAACTTGTCCCATGCTGCCGGCAAAGTTTGCAATATCACCAAGAGCCACATCAATTGACTGGCTGTCCGCCCAAGCGTTTTCCGCATTTTGCGCATTTTGCGACTGGCAACTGCTACACATATTGGTCAATAAAGTGCGCTCAAAATATTTGCCACAACTTGTGCACTTTACCTATCACACAAGTTGAAGTTCGTGTCCTGTACCGCGCTGCCCCCTTTAAGATTTGTTGTTAATTTTTGGGTAAATTTGTCGAAAATGTTTCGGTCCCCTGCGCCAACCTCTCTTTACGGTTCCACAAAGTTCTTGCCGCATGCTCTATGCACTTTTCCAGCTAGTGTTGCGTTCTGGTACTTCTGTGGCAAACTTTTAATTGATTCAATCGCCTGTGCATATTTTCGGTTCACTTCAGCTTGGTTTGACACTACCACAAAAATGACTATTCACTTTTACTGTACTTGTATTTTATTTTGAGACATCACTTGGATTTTTACCCACAATAGAATTGTGAACTGATTTTGTAAAAAAATTGTTTAAAGAGAACTATGCTTATCTTTATTTAACTTCAAACGGAAAATACTGTACGACTGTTTAATGGTATTAAATATGAAGTAGGATAGCATTTAGTATTCATTGTTATTATATTTTGTTTTTTTTTTTTTAATAGTTATTATGAATAATTATATTTTATTTGGAGTATTTCGTTCAGTGCACGGACTAGTTTGTAATAAGCCAGCAACTAAATACCCAGCAGCAACTGTCAGTTGTCCTTTCTGAAAATGGTGGGGCCGAGTGCCAAGGGAGCTCCCCAATATGTGCGTGTCGCTCCCGGCGTGCTTGCGAAATTAGTTAGAGGATTAAATTTGTTCTTTAATAGGATTTCTCATTAGGTGGCGTTTCACGATCGAACCGGAATATTTGTTCGATACACACAAACACCACTAACACACAGCACCTGCACCAGCACCCTCTGGCCATTAATTTCAAGCCGCACAAATTCAAGAATTCACTACCCAGGGACAGGAACAGTAGCTAAGTGCGGAAATGTATGCAAAACAGCGTGTTTTGGGAAAGCGCATTAGTTGTGGACTTCAGTCGACAGTTAATACGTTCAGAACTGGAACGATATTTGGAGCTGCCTTAAAGCTGACGCCA